CGCAATGATGCCTAGATGGCCCCTAAGATCACCTGGTTTTGGCTCCCTATTGCCTTATCCGTAGTGTCCCTTTCATAGCCTTCCCCTTTAGATGAATATTAAGCGGGGCAAAGCCTAGGAGAGCCTCCATTGAGGTCGTTGGGCATGTTCTCAGGGCATCCGTTATGCCAAAACATGCAAGGCGCTGCATCGAGTGAGAACAGCCCGCGCCGTCGCCTGCTCAGCCTTCTGCCACCATATGACAGAAGAATAAGTTACAATTAGTCGAACAATTGTAGTGTTGGTCCAGTAGACCATTATGTCTAAGACCTTAGACATTAAGTCTAAGACCCCACGTTTTTCCATATAGCCTCGTCGAAGCCCATAAAGCCCGGGTGGCCCTAACTTTGACTCCATCAAGGTGAGGCCCCCAGTTTAGTCGTTGGTCTAGGATTACTCCCAGATACTTGATCTCTTTGGAAGACAAAATGTTTGTGCCCCCAGGAGCAACGGCCGCACACTAAATTTCCGCCACCTTGTAGGAGGGCTTTGGCATTAACCCGGGAAAAGTAGTTATTGTACCATTTACTACACTATAGTTTACTAGATACTATAAAACTGAAAACGAGCTGTGTTACATTTTATGGATTATGTGTCTAAATAACTACTTATGTATTACTATTTTTGAACTAGAAATTACAAAAATAAAATAGAAGTCATAATGTGAATTTCAAGTTTATTTACTAAGCTTATTATGCTAATTCTATGGCATGTATACACTATAGGTATCAGAATTGTCGGAATATCTTAACAAAGATAAGTAGTCCAAATACATATAACTATTCCAAAAACAATGTAATTGTGTTTGCAAAAAATTATCTTAAGAACTTAGTAATTAAGTTATGAAGTTTTTTTCTTCTTTTTCTATTATTATTCGTTCTCTACATGCATAATATGAGAATAATTTCTGTTAAGTACATAAGTAACACAATATTAACTTTAAGGTGTTCATTAAATTTTTCTTACATACATTTATAAGCCATATAAAACCAAAAGGATGAAAAAATTAATAATAATAAAAAACGACAAAAAATCATTTTTTTTTTCTTTAATAAGAGTATAAAACTATACTTAATTTTCATATAATTTTATAATACCCTAAAGTATATTTAACTATAATAACTAAATATCTTAGTATGTATATACATACATATTGTACATACACGTACATACGTGTATATTTGTTTATTGACTATCGTTATATCCTCAGTTCATAAGAATAATAAAGAAAATTACCCTTAATTTGTTACTCTCATTGTTGATGTTTAACCGCATTTACTACAATATTAGCATAGTGTATTGTGTTATCTAACTACATGTATGTACATAGTTTTATAATATAACTAAAAGTAGTTAAGATGAAGAATATTTTTATTGACCAATATGGTATATAATTGAGGAAATTACTTTACACTTTCTTATAATATAACTATGAGCATCATAATAAGTATATTATGAGTTTTTCTCAAAGTTAATGTAAGTAATTTACAAGAATACAATGTTAAGTTATTTTACATAAATTTGTAAGTTGAAAAGATTCATTTTTAAAGAAAATTATGTTATAAAATTACTAATGTTAGTTAATATTTTCTTTTGTTATATTCAGATTATTATTTAAAAAATTATTTTGTCTCCAAAGTTTGTTTGTTATTTTCACATTTTTGAAATTTCAGAGCTTATTATGCTTACAAAATGTATAAAATTGAATATAATAGCTAAGGGAAATGAAAATTAAGTAATCATTTTAAATAATTAACAGTGAAAATAAAAAATTTTCATAATTTAAATTACTAGTTTGGTCTTTTTTTATGACTATAGTAAATTGAAATTTTTATAACCTAGTTAGTTGTAGTTTGTATATCTTGTTGTACTGCAATGATATTTTTGAGAGAACCAATGAGTTATATTGGTAAAGTAAATGAAAATAATAGGCAAATTTTTTTTTAGAATAAATCATAACATCGTCGATATGGCATTTTTCTGGAAACAAATCAAAATTTGGTAAGTCAAACGAATTTGTAAGATTCAGAAAATATAATTAATCTTTTTCTCTCAACAACTTGTAATTGAGGCTTTATTTCAATTGTAATAACAATGTTAAATTCGTATATTAATGACGTAATAACAAGAGCTACATGTTGTAAGCTTACATGACATATTCGTAATATCTACGTTAACAAAATAAGTTACAGAAGCAAAAATGACTAGTTGAACACTCTTTTTTAGATGTGACTATCAAAAATAATAGAATAATTTTTTTCGAGCAATTTTTTCTCAACAATTCATGTATATAATGTTTAAAGTCAGTATAACAGATTTTAAACAAAAAAATATCATTTTTAGTAAAAAAACAACACATTATCATAAATTTGTTTATAAAGTACTCACATAAAAATATTTTAATTCCATATTATAGATATGTGTGTATATACCTAATCACATTTTAAGTGCCATTGATCTTTGTCATATCAAAAATCTTGAACTTTATTTTTTATTACACTATTATTAACATATCTACTATAGTTACTAAAATTAATTATAATTATTATACAAAATAAACGGCAAAATAATATAAAACCTATATACTTGTATTTATTTATAGTTGATAATTAAAGTGAAATTTCCAAAAACGAGAAAACAAATTTTTAGATGACTATAAATATAAATTCTATACTATTGAGTTACATACATACATACACCTACATAATATATACATAAGCATAACAAAGTAGGATAAATTTTAAGAAGATTTAGAATTTACAAATTATAAATAAACAAAATACTTGTTATAGCCCCCTTGAATATTTTTAATAACGTTCATGATAAGTACAAATCAAATATAAGAATCTAGTTTAGAAAATTTTGCCTTATATTAATAAGAAGCTTTAAAATTATTTTACAAAAAACAAAAATATATAAAAAATTAATATCACCTTTTACCTGTTTATTAAAATGCGTCTAAAACTAATTTGTGCTCAAAGGTCAAGTTCAAAATGAGAAAAAAAAATGTCATTAATTTTTTTCTAACAATTTCATAAACAGGTTATTTTCATACAAATATCATGTACATTTATACGTACATATGCACTTATTTAATTTATATACAGTAATATAAAAGCATGCTTTTATGCACAAAAAAAAAAAAGAACAAAACCTATAATCAATGAGTAACTTTATCTATGAGAATGTTTTGCCATTTTTTTGTCATTTTACTAGCTTCTGTAAAATTTGCATGGTATTTAAAAATGTAAACTTCCTTCAAACTTGTTAGACTTACATTCATATGAATGTATGTCCATTTTATTACCACATTTATTTTACAAACAACATTTATTGAGAGAATAAAATTCTCAAATTTCCATTACGTCATAAAATAAAATACTAATATTGTTGGTATAAAATAAAATCGTCTAAGTCAATTTATTAAAAACAGAAGTTTTGACCGTAATATAATACAAATGTATAGAATATTATAAGCTGAACATATATGTATACAGTATAACAATATTTAAGATAAGCATCAAACCAAATATACAAGTAAACAGGTATTTAATATACCGTTCTACAATCTTCAATGAGAGGATTTTTTTTTTCTTTTTTGTAAATTTACAAAATGAGAGTTGTTATACAAATATACATATGTAAATTTTATATGTACATACAACATATAATTGATTCAAACATACATTGTAGTTATAAGAATTTTAAGCTTTCAAACAATTTCAAAAACTTTTGATTCATTTTTTAATTTAAATGTAATTTGGGAAAAAATACAAGTTTCTTCATATTTTTCGTTGTAATAAATTATAAAAATAAATATAAGTTTTATTCAGAAATCTTAATAAAATTCTTAATACTAATTTAATAGAGTTCCCTCACATGTACTTGAACATTAAATTAAGTATTTACTTATGAGGCGCTCAGCGCATTAGTAGCCTAGCTGCAAAAATGTAAATTGCGATTGAATTTTATGAGAAAGAGAACGAACTTATGTGAAAATAAATTAAAAAGAGGAGTAAACTAATAATTTTGAAAACATAGAACAATTCTTTAGGCTACTACAGCTTTATTGAAAATAGTAACTTATTTTTGCAAAAATGTTGGAAAAGCCACTAATGCACTGAGTTCCATATATGTATAGAGTAATTTTATGTATGGGTATAAAACGGACTTAAATTATTTATATTTTATTCAATCATACTACATACGTATGTATATACTAATAATATACTAAGATTTTATTTATAGATCTACCAATATTAAATACCCTAGTTAATAATAAAGTAGGCTTTAATGTACAAATTGTTGTTTCCTTTTCTTAATGAAAAAATTCTTTCTATAAGCAAAATTTTAAAAACGAAAAATAATGTGATAATACGAAGATGTATGTATGTATGTATGTAGGTTTCTCTTGCGATTACGTCTTATGCAAATTCAAATAATTTTTCTATTGTTTATGCTTTTCCGCCTTGTACTGGCCTGTCAATGCAACGCAACGCAACTTAAAAATTTCCTTAACAAAATTCAAGTTCTATAATATTATTAAATTTTCTTGAATGAATTGAGATTTTCTTCTCTTTTCTTCATTTAACTCTTTAAATCTGTTCATTTGCAATACACAAAATAAAAAAAAAAAAATAACAAAAAAAAAAATGGTCTAAAAATCGTATAAAGAAAAATAAATTTGAAATAAATTCCACAATACAATCCACATAATGCCGTTGTCTCAATTCTCAATCCAATATTAAATTATTTTTATTAATATAAGTATGTGAAATAAAATGAACATTCCACGATCGTAACGAAATTTAAAGTTTAATATTTCAGTTGGCATTTAACACGCGATCCATTAAGTTCGTGATCGGTCTTCAATTTTTATATAAAACGGTTAATAAATAATTTTTGTCATTATTTATTTAAAAAAAAAATAAATATAACAGAATACGATATTAACGCTAAATATTTTTTTTATTGTGATAATTAAATTAAAAAATATATTTTTTATTTTTATTATTGTTATTCAGGTGTATTATAGTGGTGTGTTATATCAAATCAACAACATAAGTTAGGAGTAACAAACAAAGAATTTTGTTTACTTCTGCAAAAAAGAAAAAGAAAACAGAAAATAACTTTAGTTGCAAAATAATAAATCAACATTATTATTGTTGTACATATACAAAACATACACATACATACAAAAGTGTAAAAGAATAAATACTTAATAATAATTACTTAAAAACTAAAATTAATTAAAAGTAAAAGAAGATTATTTGTAAAAATATTCGAGGTGAATTTAGATTTTGTGGTGTTTTTTTTAAAAGGTTGTTAGACCAACGGAAACGAATACAATTACAATAAAAGTAAGAATTTGATTATTTATAGTAAATTTTTTTAATTATTAATTAAAATATTTGTTTTGGGCAATATTTTTTTTGCGTTGATTTTATATTTTGAAATGATTTAAGCTTAATTCATTGAGGCTTATTAAAATTCTATTTCATGTGTTGCGTATTATTAAAAGAATGGCAACACTCTTGCAATATATAAAAAAATGATTTGGATTACGATAATTAAGTATAAAGAAATGTTCACTGGAAACCATACACCTGGGACCTTACCATGTAAATCGATTTTCGTGAAACGATTTTAATATTCGTAAAAATGATAAGGTAGTACCAATTAATTTGCATGGTACTACCTTTCCATTTTAGCAAATATGAAAATCGTTTCATGAAAATCGAATTACATACACAGTAAAACGCCTGGAAATCGATCAAAGAATCATCTCTGAAATTATATGCAACCTAATGTGAAATACCCTCTATTCTTATAGAAAACAATTTAATACTTACTTACCACTTTAATAAAATATCATATGTTAATATTATTAACGTTGCACATTAAAAATTAATTTATGGATTAAGTAAAACTAATTTAATAAAATTTACTGTTAAATTTTAGTAAACGTATAACTTTAAACAATAAGTAAATACGTGTGATTTTAAAGAGAAATATGTTAATATTTTCTGTCACAAAATTTAAACTTGTTCGAAAACGAAATTCAAATAAAATTAACCATTCATAAGATTAAAATATTTAAAATTTTAACCATTTCGTTTTAAAAATTTTTTTATTCAAGGTCAAGCTTTCATATTATTTAACCAATACTAAAATATATTTTAGTAATACAGTTAATGTATTACATAATATATCGTATCGTATTCTAACACAATACTTATATGAACACGGTAACTCTAAATTTTCAAGACAACTGGGCATCTATAAAATTAGAGTATTCAACAATATTCTAAGTTATTTTTTATGATTGAACACTAAATAGGAAATATCCACATAAATGAGAATCTTCTAATAGGCATTAATTAATTTTTTTATTCCTTAAGAACCAGTTTTTGTTTATATGCTTTTAAAAAAACAATAAAATGATAATTGTAGTACTTTAATAGCTATATACAAGAAGATCAAAATTTTTGATTACGCCATTCACACATTTTAATTTAATTATATTATATTTTATATATTAAAGCGAATATTACATAAGATGAAGATGGCTACATTTTTTAAAAATTTTAAAGTTGGATTTTATAAAAACTACAATTTCAGACTCAAAGTTTGAGTATATCTTAATTTAAGAGAACAAATTTAACTCACTCAATTATAGAAATTTTGAGAAATTCTTAATTAAATTTAAAGTTTTCAGTCGAATGGTTATAGAAATTTTTAAGATCAATAATTGGTTATTAGCCACAAATTAATAGCGATCAATTTTTTTTATATAAATCACAATTATTAGCATTTGTACCTGTAGGTATAAGTATATGTTTTGTAGCTATAAATCTTAAAATAAGTAAGTATTTATCAATTAGACGATAATAAATTTGAAAATGAAAAAAAAGTAAATTTTACACAATGATAAGCATCGAGTAAAAAATCAAGGAAAGTTTTTTACATTTTTGTTTTTTTTTAATTGTTTTTATATTAATTGCAATGGAAATAAATTTAATTTATAACTTTAAAATTACTTCGCAATTTATTTTCTTATTTATCATCATAATTAATTTCAATTTCCTATATTAGTAGATTCTTACGATACTTATATTTTAAACGTTCTTCAATAATGAAGTAATGATAAATGTATATCGTAAATTAAAAAAACAAATTGTTCTAATACCTAAGTACTAACTTTTTTAACGATTTAAGTTTTAAGCATGTTAATGCGTATTTAAATAATTTTTTACATAAAAATCCAAATGCAGCGTTTGTGTGATCTATCGTTTTGTGTTTAAAAAAAACAAAACAAGAAAAAATAAATTCTCTAGTATTTTGCATTTATTCCAGTGAGAGAAGTCATAGAGTACACAACGATGTCTTTAGGTATGTACATATTTTTTGCGTTTTAATTTTTTTTCTGCTTTTTTTTACAACATGTTTTTACATGTTAAATATTGTTCTTTCGTGTTGATATATAATTTTACAAGAATGTTGAGTTTTTTTGTGAAAAAAATTAAACTAAAAATTAGATAACACGATTGTGTAAGTTGGGCTTTCTTCTTTGTTACGAAATCGGACTCACGTTTGTGTTGCCTTAATTATTTTAGTTGTTTCGAGCATATTTACAATAATTTTCTTATAAATTTAGAAAAAATTACGACTTAAACAATGATAACGATATTCAGAAAGTATTATAATTGTTACAAAATTCGGTTGATGATTGCAACTAGCTTAATTAATTGCAACTAGCTTATCGAGAAATAAATTTTTCAATTTGAGAAATATCACTTTGTGGACACAGATAAGCCTAACAAAAAAAATAAATTATGGCGTATACAACCTGTAATAGATATGGTAAAAAAACGCTGTAATAAGCTTGCGACTATTGTAGAAGCATACTCCATTGACGAACAAATGATTCCTTTCACTGGAAGATGTCCAGCTCGTCAGGTTATTAGATCGAAACCTCGTCCAGTTGGATTAAAGAACTTTGTTTGTGCTACCGCTGATGGATTAGTGGTAGATTTTGAAATCTTTCAGGGTGCTGGAACCTTTCCAGATTGCGGAATTATATTACATCTATTGTTATATTTTTAACCAAATGTTTGCCAAAAGTTAGCCATTTATACTTCGATAGATTTTTCACCACAATACCGTTGTTAGAAAGGTTGAACGAAATAGGCCTCAAATCAACTGGAACAATTATGGCCAATCGTTTGGAAAAGCGACTTCATTTACCCTTGGATAGAGATATGAACAGAGGGGACATATCACAGTTTGTGAAAAATGACGAAGTTTCAGTTGTAAAGTGGCGTGATACCAAATGTGTTACAATTGCGTCCACCATATGCGGAAAAGACTTTGTCGCTGAAATTGATCGGTGGAATAGGATTTTAAAACGCCGTGTACCAGTGCCCATTCCAGCAGTAATTTTAGATTACAATGAAAACATGAACGGTGTTGATATATGCGACCAGATGATGATGGAATATTATCGCATTAAAATAAAAACTAAAAAATGGCCAGTGAAAGTATTTTTTTCATTTATTAGATTTAGCCATTCTCAATTCATGGACAGAATATAGGAAAGATGCACGCCGTCTTAAAATTCCTAAAAAACAAGTTAAAGATTTTTTGCAATTTAAAATTGAAATTGGTAATGTGCCAAAAGTATTAAAATTTTAGAAGCAACGGAAGCATCCAGCAGTAAAATACCAGCAGAATATTATGGTTCAAAATACCGTCCACGTAATGCTCCTGAAGACATCAGGTTTGATCGTTTTGACCATTGGCCTCAATTCATTGACGGTACAGAAAAAAGATGCCGCAACACTTGATGTTCTAGTCGTTCGAGAGCTATATGCACAAAATGCAACGAAGTAATACCAAGAAGGTGCAAATATTAAGTTAAAAATATAAAGTTTTCTGTTTTTTTCTAATTTTTATTAAAATATAAAGAATTTAATTAATAAAATAAAAATATTTGATTTTTCTCAAATTTTATTTTATAATGTAGAAGAATTAATTAATATAATGAATAAGAATTAATTAATTGAATTAATTAATATAATTTAGTTGTACTACTACCAAGAAGGTTGAAATTTTTGTTATTATTTTTAATACATATGAATTAATATATTTTTGTTCATTTTTCATTTAGGTTTATATTTTAAAATAAAGTTTATATTTAATCACTTTAATTTTAGTTTTTTGTTCGAAAAACTGTTAAATGATATTAAAAATCGTGGCTAATTACAGGTTTTTAATTCAATAAAATAGAAAATGTCCTTAGTACGGTTTTAGACATAATAGCCCAACTTACACGATTGTGTTAGGTCCTTTTTTGACTATCCTGTAAGCAAATTTTATTTTAAACACAAATACAAAACTTTTTATCAAAAAATTTTATCAAAATGTTGGTTTTTATACAAATTATAACAAATTTAAAGCTTGGGTCTGAAAGAGATATATATATATATATATATATATATATATATATATATATATATACATATATATATATACATATACATATACATATATATATATATATATATATATATATATATACATATTTACGTGGACAGTGCGGTTGCATGTGATTTGAGTGAAACATATGTACTAACATACATATTTAATTATAAAATAACAAATTACCATGTCATCGAAAAAAATATGTAAAAATAAGTATGAATGTACTTACATTGGTGATTAATTACGGTAATATAGATTTTTTATTAATATTTTAACCGTCAATTATAATTATATAATCCACACAATTAACTATACTTAAATAATATAAAAGTGTAACATTAAAGAATAATTGTGGAGAAAATTTCTCTTATTTTAAGTTAATAAGAGAATTAATAATGTTATTAACTACGATTTGAAAAGATTACGATCAGTTTTATAAAATTACAAATAAAATTGTTTTCAAGACATTTTATTGTTTTTCTAAAACTCTTGAATAATTTGTATAACAGTTTTAGATACAATTCTTGTACATTAGATCTTGTACATTACATTTGTAATCACATTCAAATTACTCTATTTTTCTCGATGACAATATTTGTTCCACAATTCACAGGTTAATGTTTTTTTTTGAAAGTCATTGATTTGTCATTTGCCATAAGTTGTTTTAATCCTAAAAAAATTAATTTTAATTATTATAATCAAAAATAATATAATATGGTAGCTGTAGATAATGATAATATTTACTATTTATAAAAATTTTTCGAAATGGATGGATGACTAGTTCTAATTTAAATTTTCTCGGTTGCATTGTTTTTATTTCAAGGCTGTTAAATTAAATGAGTTTTTTTGTGGAGAGGAAGAAGGTGGAATTAACAAA